AACCATCTGTGGCTTATTATATTTAGCCTAATTAATTAATATTAAATGAAATTAAAAGTTCAGTTTCTCAGTCATGCTAACCACATTTCAACTGCTTAAAAACCACACGTAGCAAAAAGTACCCACAGAGAAAAGCCCAGATCCAGATCGTTTCACTAGTTAATTCCTCAAATATTTAAAGAATTAACACCAGTTCTTCACAAACTCATCCCAAAAAATAGTAGAGGGAACACTTCCCAACTCATTCTCTGAGGCCTGCATTGCCTGGATATCAAAACCAGACAAAAATGACACGAGAAAAGAAAATTTCAGACCAATTTCTCTTACGCATAGAGGCATAAAAATCCTCAGCAAAATACTAGAAAATCTAATACATAGACCATGACCAAGCGGTATTTATCAGAAATGCAAAGTCAGCTTTACATATGAAAATGAATATTAATTCGCTAATACACCATATCAACAGAATAAAGGACAAAAAACACACGATCATCTCAATAGATGAAAAAAAAAGCAGTTGACAATATTGAAAACCCCTTCATGATCAAAACACCTAACAAACTAGGAATAGAAGGGAACTTCCTCAATATGATAAAGGGCATCCACAAAAAATCCACAGCTAATATCATACTTAATGATGAAAGACTAAAAGCTTTTTCCCTAATATCAGGAACAAGACAAGAATGTCTAGTTCTATTTGAATGTTGAAGAATGTTGCCACTTCTATTTAATGTTGTAATGGAGGCTCTAGTCAAGGCAATTAGGCCAGAAAGTGAAATTAAAAGCATCCAGATTAGAAAGGTTTGCAGGGGACATAATCTTGTATATAGAAAATCCTAAGGAATCTACAAAAACCTATTTGAACTAATAACAAGTTCAGCAGAGTTGGAGCATAAAAGATCAATAGACAGGGCTTACCTGGTGGCGCAGTGGTTGCGAGTCTGCCTGCCGATGCAGGGGACACGGGTTCGTGCCCCGGTCTGGGAGGATCCCGCATGCCGTGGAGCAGCTGGGCCCGTGGGCCATGGCCGCTGGGCCTGCGCGTCCGAAGCCTGTGCTCCGCAACGAAAGAGACCACAGCGGTAAGAGGCCCGCATACCGCAAAAAAAAAAAAGATCAATAGACAAAAATCAATTGTATTTCTAGACACTTGTAATGAAGAATCCAAAAAGGAAACTAGGAAAGTAATTCCATGTACAAAAGCACCAAAAAGAATAAAATACTTAGGCATAAATTTAACAAAAGAGGTGCAAATATATACGATGAAAACTACAAAGCATTGTTGAAAGAAAATAAAGATCTAAATAAGCAGAAAGACATCCTATGTTCATGGATCATAAATTAGTGCATTCACTGCTGTGGCCTATGTTCAAGCCCTGGATGGGGAACTAAGATCCCACAAGCTGAGTGGTGTAGCCAAAAAAAAAGTTTTGTTCTTTTTTTATTCCACATGTAAGTGAAATCATACAGTATTTGTCCTTATCTATCTGACTTATTTCACTTACTATAATGCCTTTAAGCTTCATCCATGTAGTTGCAAATGGTAGAATTTCCTCATTTTTAATGGCTGAATAATATTCCATTGTATATATATATATATATATATATTCCACAACTTCTTCATCATTCATCCATCAATGGACACTTAGGTTGTTTCCATGTCTTGGCTATTGTAAATAATGCCGCTATGTACATAGGGGTGCAGATATCTTTTCAAATTAGTGTTTCCGTTTCCTTTGATATATTCGCAGAAGTGGAATGTCTGCATCATATGGTAGTTCTTTTAATTTTTGGAGGATCTTCTATACTGTTTTCCATAGTGGCTGTGCAAATTTACAATCCCACCAACAGTGCCCAAGTGTTCCCTTTTCTATACAACCATGCCAGCATTTGTTACCTCTGGTCTTTTTGATGATGGCTAATCTAAGAGGTGTGAGATGACATCTCATTGTGGTTTTGATTTGCATTTCCCTAATGACTAGTTGGCCGTGCCACTCAGCTTGCGGGATATCAGTTCCCCAACCAGGGATTGAACCCAGGCATGGCAGTGAAAGCCCCGAATCCTAACCACTAGGCCACCAAGGAACTCCCATGACTAGTGCTGTTGAGCATCTTTTCAAGTACCTGTTGGCCTGTTGGCCTTTTGTATTTCTTTGGAGAAACATCTATGCAGTTCCTTTGCCCATTTTTAAATTGGATTATTTCCTTTTTTTGCTATTGGATTGTATGATTTCTTTATATATTTTGGATATGAACCCAGCAACCTGTACTTTTTTATTTATTTATTTATTTTATTAGTTTATTTTTGGCTGCACTGGGTCTTCATTGCTGCGCGTGGGCTTTTTCTAGTTGCAGTGAGTAGGGGCTACTCTTCATTGTGGTGCACGGCCTTCTCATTGTGGTTGCTTCTCTTGTTGCAGAGCACGGGCTCTAGGCGCGTGGGCTCAGTACTTGTGGCGTGCAGCCTCAGCAGTTGTGGCGCATGGGTTTAGTTGCTCCGCAGCATGTGGGATCTTCCTGGACCAGGGATCGAACCCGTGTCCCCTGCATTGACAGGCGGATTCTCAACCACTGCACCACCAGGGAAGTCCCAGCAGTCTGTGCTTTAACAAGCCCTCTGGTGCACACTAAAGTTTGAGAACCACTGGCATAAGGCAATGTAAAATGTAAAGGCAGGATTCAAACCATAGCATGATCTAAGCTAACATATACTGAGTGCTATGGTTTCCCAGGAGCTCATGTAATTTCCACAACCACCTTATGCTGTGTTGATACTATTGTTATTCCCATTTGACACGTCAAGAAATTAAGGTGCAGAGAGATGGAGAGACTTGCCTAAGATCATAGAGCTACTGAATAGCAGAGTTGGGACCCCAAAACCAGGTTTCTCCACTGCCAAAGCCCATGCTATCAAGCACTGTGTCAGCACTTCCCCTGAGTGTGGGCCACAAGCATTACTGGTAGAGATGAGGTGGCCTCAGGTGGTAGTACCTGAATGTTCATTTTACACTCCAACAGCTATGTATTTTTAAAAAATATTTATTTATTTGGCTGCGCCAGGTCTTAGTTGTGGCCCGCAGGATCTAGTTCCCTGATCAGGGATCTAGCCTGGACCCCCTGCGTTGGGAGCTCAGAGTGTTAACCACTGGACCACCAGGGAAGTCCTATGTATTTATCAGGGAAGTCCTATGTATTTATTTTAATGTGTCATAGAAAAAATATATATAACTAGCATTCCAAACTCATGATTTCAATAGTAACATCGTTTCCCTTTAAAATGAGTGAATTTTATTAAAAATTAGTTGCTTTAATGAAAAGTATTTATTTGGCCATGCTGTGAGGCTTGTGGGAACTTAGTTCCCTGACCAGGGATTAAACCCAGGCCCTCAGCAGTGAGAGTGCTAAGTCCTAACCACTGGACCACCAGGAAATTCCCTTTAATGAAAAAAAAATTTTTTTTTTAGCTGCACCACATGGGATCTTCATTCCCCGACGGAACCCGTGCCCCCTGCCGTGGAAGCACAGAGTCCTAACCACTGGACCGCCAAGGGAATTCCCAAAGAATCTTAATAAATGTACTGTTATGTACAGATATCGCAAATATGGTAGAGACGGTTAACAGTGAAGTATGGGCAATACTGCTAAGCCAACCTCAGTTACTTTAAAAATACATAACGATTTGTGTATTTTACTGTATATAAATAGTACCTTATTTTTTAAATTAATTAATTTATTTATTTTTGGCTGTGTTGGGTCTTCGTTGCTGCATGCAGGCTTTCTCTAGTTGTGGAGAGCAGGGGCTACTCTTCGCTGCAGTGCGCGGGCTTCTCATTGCGGTGGCTTCTCTTGTTGCAGAGCACGGGCTCTAGGCGCGTGGGCTTCAGTAGTTGTGGCATGTGGGCTCAGTAGTTGTGGCTCACGGGCACTAGAGCGCAGGCTCAGTAGTTGTGGCGCACGGGTGTAGTTGCTCTGCGGCACGTGGGATCTTTCTGGATCAGGGCTCGAACCCGTGTCCCCTGCATTGGCAGGTGGATTCTTAACCACTGTGCCACCAGGGAAGTCCCCCTACAAGTCCTTTTTTAAGGTACTGTTGGGACTTCCCACATGCCGTGGAGCAGCTAAGCCTGTGCGTCACAACTACTGAAGCCCGCACGCCCTAGAGCCCACGAGCCGCAACTACTGCTGAGCCCGTGTGCTGCAACTACTGAAGCCCGAGCGCCTAAAGCCCATGCTCCGCAACAAGAGAAGCCACAATGAGAAGCCCTCGCACCACAACGAAGAGTAGCCCCCGCTCGCCACAATTAGAGAAAGCCTGCGCGTGCAGCAACGAAGACCCAACGCAGCCAAAAATAAATTTTTAAAAAAAGGGACTTGTAAAATAGACTGGATTCTAGGTAAAAATGTGCATGCTGAAGCATTTAGAGGGAGGTGTATTGCAGTCAACCTCCTACTTTGAAATGCATCACAAAAGTAAGTTGAACTGGGCTTCCCTGGTGGCGCAGTGGTTGGGAGTCTGCCTGCTGATGCACGGGACACGGGTTCGTGCCCCGGTCTGGGAGGATCCCACGTGCCGTGGAGCGGCTGGGCCCGTGAGCCGTGGCGGCTGAGCCTGCACGTCCAGAGCCTGTGCTCCGCAGCGGAAGAGGCCACAGCAGTGAGAGGCCCGCGTACCGCAAAAAAAAAAAAAAAAAAAAAAAAAGTTGAACGAAACATTCATTGTAGAACCCAGGTGGTACCTACATCAGTAATCATCGTGTAAGTTCTTTCAACTTCTCTGTAGGTTTGGAAACTTACATGTTGGGGAAAAAATGCATACAGATTGTCCCACACAGTGAATGAATGAGTAAATGAATAAAGGAATTAACAAATAAGCAAAGCCTCAAAGACTAGACAATTTGCTGAAAGACTTTCTTTACCCGACCCTGTATATATTCCAAAGTGAGCTTCCTGCTTTTATAATAGAAGAAAATGTTTTTTCAGAGAGAAAAATGGCACAAGAGTCAATTGATAAAATAGGCATTTATTCTGAAGGCATAATGCAAAGAAATTCCCCGAAAGCAGCTTGGGAGTGGAAGAAAACCGCTGCCCCTCCATCAAAGGGGAACAGGACCTCAGCACTTTTCTACATCCCAGCCGTGTAGGGATGGCTGGGGGCAGAGCTCACGGGTGGGCTCTGGGCCGTGGGCCTGGGGTCGGTCTGACTTGCCCGCCTGTCAGTGTGGGCCCAGGTCACTGTGTCCTATGTTCCAAGGAGTCAGAGTGTCAGGAGAGCTGGCAGAGGAAGTCGTGCAGAGGCAGGGCCAGGAGCCCTGACAGCGAGATCCCCAAGGTGTCCGAGATACAGGTGGTTGCCATGGCAAACTCCCGGTGCTCACTGCTGGTCTGGGGAGGGTGGGGAGCAGGGGTGAGGCTTCAGTCCTAGCTACCTCTGCCTGGCACTTTCCCAGAGAGGCCACCCACCCACAGCCCTCGACCGACTGGTGCTGACCTCCAGGGCAATGTTGTGAAAGGTGTTCACATAGGCCGCGCCCCCCAGAAGTCCCTCATACAGAATGATCAGGAAGACGAGGTAGATGCTCGGCAGGAAGCTCAGCCACACGTCCGCCAGCAGGAAGGCCAGGTTGACGCACTGTGGGTGCAGGTGGAGAGGAGGGCTGAGCCTGGGACCAGAGGTGGGCAGGAAGGGAGGTGCCATCCCGTCCAGCAGGCCCCGGTTCTGAGAGATGCTGATGAGGGTGAGGGCTGACAGGCCTGGATCAAATCCCAACACCCAGCTGGCCTACCAGATCCTGGGATCTGGGGTAGGCCTTCTCCCTACCGCATCCCAGCATCCTAGACCTTGGGGGTCTCCTCCCCTTCTCCCTTTGCCCGTGTCACTCCTACCGCCTGTGATGCTATCCCACCTTCCCCCACTTGGGCTCCCCTAGTCACCACCGTTCACAGCTCAGCTTGGATCAGGGTCACTCTCACTCCTATGATCTCATTCGTCCTCCCAGAGTCTTCCTGAATGGAGAGGTTCCCCTCTATTTTATCAAACTGAGGCTATGGTGAGACCAGAGGTTCTCAACTAGGCGTGACTTTGCTGCCTAGGGGCCATTTGGCAACATCTGGAGATGTTCCTGGTTGTTACAACTGGGAAGGGAGGGTGTTACGGGCATGCAGTGGGCAGAGGCCAGGGATGCTGCTCAACATCCTGCAGCTCACAGGACAGCTTCACAACAAAGAAGGATCCAGCCCGAAATGCAATAACACCAAGGTTGAGAAACCGTGGCTTAGATGTTCCCACGCCTTCTAAGAAGGCTCGCTGACCCCACCCAAGGGTGTAGGTCCCTTTCTCTGTGCCCCAGTCCTTCAGGGGATCCCACTGTCCCAGTCCTCAGTGCACAGGGTTGCCTCCCCAGTGTGTAGGCCACCCCAGTGGTTCACATGCTTAATGTACACACAGATCACTTGTGGATCTTGTTACCTACACAGGCCTTGCCCTCAGAGGTTCTAATTCAGGAAGAGTGAGGTGGGCTCAGAGATCTGCATTTAAAAGGACACACTCTGGTAATACTAATATGACCCTAGAAGCACTGCAGATACTTTCATCTGGAGCATTAGGCCAGACACTTTCTGTAATGGAATTAAACGATTATAAGCTGCTAATTCTATGAAGCAACCGTGGTTAAAATTATAGCTAAAATCATAAGCTACACATTTCAGTGGCATCTAATGTAGAATGCTGAGTTAAGAACTGTTGATACAGGGACTTCCCTGGCGGTCTAGTGGTTAAGACTCGTGCTTCCACTGCAGGGGGCATGGGTTCGATCCCTGGTCGGGGGACTAAGAACCCAAATGCCATGTGGTGCGGTCAAAAAAAAAAAAAGAATTGTTGATACAGTCTGGGACTTGGTGGGTACAAAGCCCTGGGGTGGCAGTCCTGCTCAGGCAAATAAGGAAGAAAGTTAGAGGATATCTGCCTGCTGTTGACATAACATTAAAGTGTCATCTACCCTAATTCTCTATATTGTTATCACAGAATTGAATTATTAAAAAGGGCAAAGAACTTTCCTGTAAGAGTTGAAGATTTATTTTAAAGGCGATTTTTTATATGCCCGTCTGGTCCCAAGATTACGGCCCAGAGGGATATTAGAGTCACCAAGAATAATTTGGAGGTTGCCAATGACTTGTTTTAAAGTGTTTTCAAGTCTGACCACCGAGAACTCTGACATTTAGAAACAAGTAAGAAGACGTGAATGTTTAAAATCATGTTCTCTTTCCAAAAAAAAAAAAAAAAAGAGTTGAAGTTTTTTTAATAGTTACCTTCAGTGGCCGTAGACATGTGACAATGAAACATGAATGCTGGTTAAGTAAAACTCCTTTTGTTAGACTGTTGTAGGTATTTTCGTTCATTTAAAGCTTAATCACTTCCATGACCTTCGCCATGAATTTGCTCACCAGCCTTGAGATAAATAACCTGTTGACTCCAATGTCACTGATTCTATTGTAATTAACCATCCAGAATGAAAGAACTGAACGTTTTCTTGTCATTGGAAACATTATTTGAAAGCCTGCCTCTCTGCATGAGGCTTGGGCAAATAATCATTAAATAAGTGCTTCTAGTTGATTAAGACACAATACACGTTCCTGTTCTTTCATTCTTCACATTTCTATTTCTTACAACTGTGCCTGATTTATACGTGAGGAAACTGAGGCTCAGATGAGTTCCGGGACCTGCCCTAAATCACACAGCTACTGAGTACAGAAGCTGGGATCTGCATCCAGGTTGGCCTGGCTCCTGAGGCCACTCATTTTACACAGATCCCTGCTGGCTTCTGTTCCCCGTGCTTAGAACATGACGGTATGCAATCAATAACCCCTGCTGAGGGAGGGAAGCATCGGGGCCTAGGGAAGCTGGGAGCCAAGGCAGGTGGAGAGTGAGGGCCAGGGGCTCAGTACCTGTAGCAAGGCCAGGGCCCACGTGTGGCGGATGTGACAGCAGCGGAGAGAAGAGCGGGAGGCAAAGACGCCGGCCTGGTACAGCATCTGGTACCTTCAAGGGGGCAGGGAGTAAGAGGAAGCCCCTCTGGTGCCTACTCGGCAGGGCAGCCCCTCCCAACCCCAGTCCTTACCATCAAAGGCCCGCCCCCCAGCCCACTGCCGTGCTGCCACCCACCCTCAGTCTTCTCACCAGCGGTATTGCTGAGCGTGACTCAGGAACGTGTTCCGGAAGAAGAGGAGTTCAAACTGCAGCAAGGACCAGACGGGGGAGATGGACGGGGATGTGTGGGTCCCCACCCTCATCACTAGTTCCACACCCCTCCCGGCAGCCCTCACTCACAAGTCCCTGGTTGATGAAATACTCAGCAAAGTAAACCAGCACCAAGGGGACGATGTAGCACAGCAGGCCCTGGAAGGGTCAGGAGACATAAGCGGGAGGCTGGGAGATGAACACTGGCCGCAGGGGACACGCCAGAGCCACCGTCCGTACCTTAAACACGGTCCACCTTTCCTGAAGGGACAGGTGTGAGCTGGAGCCTGCAGGGGGGCAGGGAGAGAAGGGCAGGTGAGGTCGGCACACTGACTCAGAAAAGGGGTGCTGGTGTGCGAGAATCAGCCAGCCAACACACGAGTGTGAAAAATGGTTAAATTGGTAAACTTCATGGTATGGATACTTTACCATGATTAAAAAAAAAAGTAACTAGATGAGACTTCTTCATGGTTCTTGTACAGCCTGATGGCGGTACACCCCTACCCAGTCACAGTGGGCCCTTCTTTCTGGTTTTGAACACCCAAGCTCATTCCCACCACAGGGCCTTAGCACTTGCTGTTCCCTCTACCTGAAACCTGTTCACCTGGATGTGCACAGGGCTGACTCCTTGTCATTCATAAATAGAACCCCTTTCCTCCCCCCATCTGTCATTTCTTGCTTTTTTTTTTTTTTTTTTTGGCCGCACTGCACGGCATGTGGGATCTTAGTTCCCCAACCAGGGATCAAACCCGTGCCCCCTGCAGTGGAAGCGCAGAGTCCTAACCACTGGACCACCAGGGAAGTCCCCCCATCTGTCATTTCTAAGCACATCACTCTGTTATGTTCTTCTAGTACTTATCAACATGTGAAAACAACGTGCTTCCGATTCTGTTATTTGTTTATGAATGGTACAACACATAGTCAGTACTCAGTGAGTATTTCCTGAGTAGATGAATGTGATCGGCTCTCACCATAACCAGCATGCCTATCCACTCCCTCTTCTGACTGCCCACAGTAGAGAGGAAAAGGCTGAAACTCGGAGAAAGTGACCGCTCTGACGGTCACTGTGTCTCCTACCTGGCTTCCACTCTGGGGCCTCGCTGTTTATCAGGGGTTGCCGGGCTGCCGTGTCTGCCTCCCCTTCCCCTCCAGGGTCCTGGGGCCCAGGAGACGTGAGCAACAAGAAATAGCTGGAAGTGGGAAGAATGAAAAGAAGATTGAAGAGCCTCTGTCAGGCTGGAAAGGCCACTTCTTCCCAGGGCAGCCCCCCTCATTCCTCCTCTCCGCCAAGGCCCTCCATCCTTGGCCAGAGAACTCCAACTGCGCAAAAATGCTTCTTTCTCTGGAACTGAAATGTATCTCCTTGTTGTTTCTAATCCATGGGCCCTCGTTTTGATTCCTGGCTCACGCCAAGCATGTCAGCCCTGTTTTCTTGTTGTTGTTTTTCTAATAATCGCTCTAGCTACCATTTATCACGTGTTCATTTTGTGCTAGGCCAGAAGTTTCCAAAGTTTGGTCACTTATGTTTTGCCTTCGTGACATTTGCCATATCCACATTCCCTCTGTGTATAATATTTTTTATTTAATATTTCCCTTTCAATTGATTCACTTTTTCTACACGGCCTTATCCTAAGCGATAATCTGTGAAATCACAGGTTTGGTCGACCAATTGAAACTTTTCTTAATTCACATGAAAATATACACAAAATGAACAGAGTCTATCCTTGCCCCCTCATTGTGGGAACCACACTGTAATGAATGCTTCACGCATGTCACCGCACGGGGAAGCAAGGAAAGCCACCATCATTTGAAATATGGGAAAACTGAGGGTCAGAGACATAAAGTAACTCGTCCCATACAACACAGTTAACAAGTGGCAGCCCAGAACTCAGACTCGGGCCTATTGGAGTCCAGAACCCACATCCCCCCACATGGCTGTAGGGATATGAAGATTGGGATCGTGATCAAGTTCTCTCTCCTCGAATCCCTCTTCCTCCCAGCCCAGGCCGCTTACCTGGCCAGCAGCAGTGCGGGTATACCCAGCATGGACAGCAGGGTGTGCTGGGGAGAGAGGCCAGCCTGGGTGAGGCCCAGGTAGGACAGTGCCCCCAGCAGCCCTGCTCCGCCAGTACCTGAGGACCACCAGGAGATCACAGCCCTGAGAAGGAGAACACAGTAGCACTAAGAAGGACCAAAGCCAGCAGTGGGAACCCCTCCCCTCACTCCCTGCTCTGCCTGCTTACCTGGGGTAGAAGGCGGTGAGTGAGAGGAAGGTGACCTCCCCCAGACCTGAAGAGATGCTAGCCAAGACCACACCTGGAGAAGGACAAGCATGGCCATACCTACCTAGCCTTTCCCGAATAGCCTCAATTCCCTAAGGGGTGTGGCCACAGCCTCCTCTGCATCTGCGCAGAGGGGCTAAAAATAGATCCCTTGGATAGGCTGGGCTCCAGATCTGAAGTAGAACCAACCCCTTCCTCTGCATGTCCTCTCATAGGGAATGGTACCTCCATCCGCCCAATTATCAAATCAGGAGTAAGAATTCATTCTTTTTTTTGGCCGCACTGCAAGGTTTGCGGGATCTTAGTTCCTCGACCAGAGGTTGACCCCAGGCCACGGCAGTGAAAGCAGCGAGTCCTAACCACTGGACCGCCGGGGAATTCCCAAGAACTCATCCTTGATGCCTCCTCCACCTCCATCACAGACGCTTGGTGACTGCTCATCTCGATCTCCATCTAATCTGTCCATTTCTTCCCATCTTCCCCACCGCCTACCCCTCCAAATCGACCTCATCTCCCGTCCCCTATTGTGACAGTCTTAGCATGCTTCTCGGGGGTTACAAAAATAATCCCTCTCCTCTGGGAAGCTGAGGAGATTACCCCCACCAATGCTCTGTTGTAGTTCCTTTGAACCCCCCACCTGACACAAAACCTCACACTCACCACACAGGCTGATTCCCACCGAATGAGAAAAGGCAACCAGGATGAAGCTTCCAGCAGCACAAACCCCACTGGTGAGCACCCGGGGGCTGAAGGGAGATATGGGCCGGGGGGGATGGTCAGCTGCCATTCTCAGCTCCCCAGCCCTCCCGCCACCTCCTCTGCCCTCCCAGCCTCCCCACTCTCAGATCCCACCTGCCTCTCCTCCCGCCACCTCCACCCAGACCTGTAGGGCAGCAGATGAAGGCCGAGAGGAGCCAGTAATTTGATGACGAGGGTGGGAAGGATGTCTGCCAGGAGCACCGCCTGGGACAGGAGAACAGAGTGAGACCCCAGACTTTCCCAGGGACAACCCTCCCAACCAAGTGGCCAAGGAAAGATAGAAACCAGCCCATTAGACCTGCTACAAACACAGGCTCTGAAGTCACACAGATCTGAGTTCCAGTCCCAGGTCTGCCTCTCCTTAGCTGTGGGTCAAGGTATTCACATTCTCTGAGCTTCAGTCTCCTTATTCGGAAAACAGGGATGATTACAGAGCCTAACTCACAGTACTGTTGTATGGATTCAATAAGCTAATATATGCTGCACACAGAAAGGGCTCAGTAAATGGCAGTCTTAATTAGTGGAGTCATGATAGCACCAGCTGGGTGCTGAGGGGGTGTGGGTGGGGTCTATAAGACCCAGAGTAAGGGTAAAGGGAGGACCAGATGGGTACTCACAGCTGTGGAGACAGAATTGCAGTCAAATCGAGATGAGCTATTATGGGAGGTGGGTGTTGGGTCTGGGTCCACCTGATGGGAGACAAGAAAGTCTTTCACCCAGGGAGGCAGGAGGGCAGACAAACAGGGCCAGGCTCCATTCCCAGCTCTGCTCTAACTTGAAGGATGGCCTTGGGTCAGCACTGGCTTCTTAAGACCTCAGTTCCTCTATGTGCACAAGGGGGAAGGGGAGGTTTCCATAGAAGTCTCAAACTAATGGTCCACACGCCAAAGATGGCCTTGTAAGTGACTTTATTTGGGTAACACACTCGGGAACTTTCATTTAAAAAATTTGGGTTTCCAGAAAAATCTATTCTTGGACCAAATTCCCTGTTGGACCTGCAAGGTGGTAGCTGTTCCCCTTGGGCCTGCATCCTCCAGCTCATCATAGACAAGAGGTTCTCAACCAGAGATGATTATACCCTTCAGGGAACATTTGGCAATGTCTGGAGACATTCCTGGTTGTCACAACTGGAGGGTGAGGCATATGCTATTGTCATCCAGTGGGCAGAGGCCAGAGATGCTGCTAAACATCCTACAATGCACAGGAAAGTCACACAACAAAGAATTATCCAGCCCAAAACATCAACAGTGCTGGAGTTAAAAAACCATGCCTTAGGGCTTCCCTGGTGGCGCAGTGGTTAAGAGCCCACCTGCCAGTGCAGGGGACACGGGTTCGAGCCCTGGTCCGGGAGGATCCCACATGCCACGGAGCAGCTGAGCCCGTGCGCCACAACTACTGAGTCTGTGCCCTGGAGCCTTCAAGCCACAGCTGCTGAAGCCCGCGCACCTAGAGCCTGTGCTCCGCAACAACAGAAGCCGCTGCAATGAGAAGCCCGTGCACAGCAACGAGGACCCAACGCAGCCATAAATTAATTAATTAATTAATAAATTAATTAATTAAAAAAACCCCAAAAAACCATGCCTTAGACTATAGTCCCACCTGGCCAACGTTTGAGTTTGCAATTGCTTTACAAGAACAAATTGATTCTTAAAGACCCTTCCTGTTCTCAGGTCTGGGAACTTTAGCCATCTTGCCCCACCCCTTAGTCACCTCATTCCATGAATTTTTCAAGTGGGTTTCTGCCCAAGGGTGAGTCCCTCATCTTCCCATAAGGACTAAACATGGTGGTGGTGGTAGAGAGGGTCACTTACATGGCTCTGGTTCCCAGGTGCTCTCTGGTGACTGAGGATGTCGTGGGCAGCGCTGAGCATCACCACGTAAGAGAAGTTGTTGCAGAGGCCCAGGAGCCTGGAGTGAGCAGGACAGATCCCCCCACCCCCCAGTTTTATTGAGATATAATTGACATAGAAGAATAGACATATAATTATATACAATCTATCCACAGTCCTAGCACCAAACCTCCCCCTTTCTTGTGCCTTCTCTTTTCTCTATCGCCAGACCCCATCCCCATTTAGTGAGAAGGTTAGAAATACAGGCTTTGGGACAACAAACTTAGGTTCATATCTAATCTCTGAGACCTCTCCCAGGAAGAGAAGGAAGTTATCCTTGATGACTCTCTCCTCCAAGCTCCCACCATGATTCAGTTCCCAGGGCATTTCTCATCCACTGATCCACTGTCTCTGACTGTGGTGTGGTAGAAAGATACTGGGGGCTTGAAATCCAAAGGACTATGTTCAGGTCCCAAGTCCGCCACTTCCTACTTGAGTGGCCTCAGTCTACTCATGTGCACAATGAGGATTCAAACTTCTCTCCTGACTATCTCACAGAGTGCTCTAGAGATCAAAACAAGATAATACCCTACATGATCTATGAAGGATCTGGTTCACTTATTCTCATCTCCCAGAGCTGCCATCAGTGATGGGAAGGGAACAGGACCCAGCCCCAGGATATCATGTGTCCTTTTCACAAGCCTCTGAAGTGGTACTGCTGCTCTTCCCATTTTACTGCTGAGAAACTGAGGCTCAGAGAGTGAGCCTCACTTCCAACCCAATCTGTTACCCAAGTCCTTGATGTTTAGGTTAGTGCTAGAAGTATTTCCCAAAGCTCAGTATTCGAATTATTTTAGGAGGTAGATGGATGACTTTTAAAAGGTAGTGATGCATTTATTTAAATGTGCATTAGGAAAATACTGGCTTTCCATCCAGAGTAGTGATTTACAGTTTTCTTTTAAAAAGTACATGTATTTACAAATTTAAAGGCTGAGTTGGATCTCCAAAATATACAAGCAGCTCATACAGCTCAATATCAAAAAAACAAACAACCCAGTCAAAAAATGGGCAGAAGACCTAAATAGACATTTCTCCAAAGAAGACATACAGACTGCCAACAAACACATGAAACGATGCTCAACATCACTAATTATTAGAGAAATGCAAATCAAAACTACAGTGAGGTATAACCTCACACCGGTCAGAATGGCCATCATCAAAAAATCTACAAACAGTAAATGCTGGAGAGGGTGTGGAGAAAAGGGAACCCTCATACCCTGTTGGTGGGAGTGTAAATTGATACAGCCACTATGTAAAACAGTATGGAGGTTCCTTAAAAAACTAAAAATGGAACTACCATATGACCCAGCAATCCCTCTACTGGGCATATACCCAGAAAAGACCATAATTCAAAAAAACACATGCACCCCAATGTTCATAGCAGCACTATTTACAATAGCCAGGACATGGAAGCTACCTAAATGTCCATCAATGGAGGAATGGATAAAGAAAATGTGGTATATAATTACAATGGAATATTACTCAGCCATAAAAAGGAACAAAATTGGGTCATCTGTAGAGATGTGGATAGACCTAGAAAGTGTCATACAGAGTGAAGTTAAGTCAGAAAGAGAAAAGCAAGTATCATATAATAACACATGTATATGGGATCTAGAAAAATGGTATAGGTGATCTTATTTGCAAAGCAGAAATGGAGACATAGACGTAGAGAACAGATGTATGGATACCAAGGGGGAAAGGGGTGGGGAGGCAGGAACTGGGAGACTGAGATTGACACATATACATTATTGATACTATGTGTAAATAGACAACAGATGGGAACATACTGTATAGCACAGGGAACTCTACCTAATGCACTGCGGTAACCTAAATAGGAGGGAAGTCCGAAAGGGAGGGGACATCTGTACGTGTACGTCTGATTCATTTTGTTGTGCAGTGGAGGCTAACACCACATAGTAAAGCAACCATACTCCAATAAAAATTAATAAAATAAAATAAAATCCTCACAACATGGCAAGGCGCCTGCTATTATCCCGTTTTACAGCTGAGGAAACGAAATTTCAGAGAAACTAAAATCAAGAAGATAACCGATGACATTGAGATTTGTCTAGAAATTAAATGATTTGTTACTGATATTCATCTCAGAAACGGTCACACAGAAAATTTCAGAGACACAAATTCTGAATTTGAATAGATATTATTTTCATGAAAAAATAAAATAAAGGCTGAGTTGGTTGGAGTAAAAACATGAAGAAAATATCCCTGCAGGTCATATGAGAAGCTGGCCCAAAGGTGAAGGTGATAAGGGAATGAGCGAAATTTGGGAAATTTACACACGGCCTCAGGGCAAACCAAGCGGTTCAGTAAATATCTTGTGGATTCAGCTCCTTTTTGGAAGCTCAACTCTCTTTTCTCACCCCGCTTGTTGCTTCCCTCTTCCCACCCTACTTTAATTTCTTCAGGCCACTCACCAGAAGCCCACCGCGTTCTTCCAATGGGTCCCCTGACGGTCCTGCGGCGGGGGCCTAAGTGCCGGATTGGCCTCCTCTCCTGGAAGGGGGAAAAGAAGAGGTCCTGACCCCCACCCCACTCTCAGGTGCACGACGGGCCAACGGGCGTTCTCCCGGGACCGAGGAAGTCAATCCCGTGAGGGTGGGCAGGAATACTCACCCTCCGAATCCGAAAGGCGCCGCCCCGCACAGCCTCCCATGGCATCAAGTTCAGGTCCCCCGAGGGGTCCAAAGTCAGCGAGACTTCAGAGTTGGCTCCGATGAGGCGGATGAGGGTCTACGACAGGTGAGAGGGATCAACGCCCCACTGCCGGTCCCAGCTCCGGCCTCTCCGCTGCAGTGGCGCCTCTACGAGCCACGGCCCTAACCCCAGGCTCCATCTTGCGCCCTCGTACGCCCCACCACGCCCCACCCGTCGGACTCTGCCCCCGCCCCTCCAAAGCAGGGGGCCCTGCAGCCTGTACCTTTAAGAGCACCTAAACATTCCGCACCCAGGAACGACGGATCACGTGACAGCACCTGTCGGTCCCTCATCACGTGCTTGAAGGTCCTCACCACTTCCGGGTCCTTTCTCGATCATCTCTTTAGACCTACCCAGCTTCGGGGCGGGGGACTGAGAGAGGCTGGAAGAACCCTGGAACCAACGGTTTAAAACTGGGATGGGTAAGAGCAGCAAGAAGAACCATGACATTAGTTGGGGACGCCCAAGGCCGTGATCTACCGTACCAGCACTAATCATGGCTGCGAATGGCTTCAGCTCCTCTGCAACTGCCAGAAATAAATATGGCCACATGCCTAGTCGGTACTGTTTCTGGCTGACAACAAAGGCAGCCAGCTTCGGGTCATTCTTATTTCTATCTGTTGCCTTTCGATTGCTTTAGAAACTGCACATAAAGATAACACCCACCTAAAAAGATTTCATGAATTGTCTGTTGGCAGTATCCAAGGTGGTTAACAGGGCCCTTTTCTCAAATTATCTTAGAACCAAAGTAGTAGTTCAACCCTGGTTTTACAGATGAGAAAACAAAAAAGGAAACTTACTGATGAACATACAACGTTAGACCTAAAGGTGACCTTAGAGACTCGGCAATAAGAAATAGAGCACCAGGGCTTCCCTGGTGGCGCAGTGGTTGGGAGTCCGCCTGCCGATGCAGGGGACGCGGGTTTGTGCCCCGGTCCGGGAGGATCCCGCATGCCGCGGAGCGGCTGGGACCGTGGGCCATGGCCGCTGGGCCTGCGCGTCCGGAGCCTGTGCTCCGCAACGGGAGAGGCCGTAGCAGTGAGAGGCCTGCGTAACGCAAAAAACAAACAAACAAAAAAAGAAATAGCGCACCAGAGGCAGGGGTGCTGGCTGCTGCAGGATTCCTGCCTGCATTAAGGGTGCTTAGACCAGATGATTCTAAGGCCCAAGATTCTGATTCTGTGATCTCATCTAGTTCCTCTAATTGGAAATTTGGAAAGTGAGGCTCAGGGAGGGGACCCAAGGAAAAGGTGTCGATTAAGGTCACTTCACAAAGTCCCAGATAAGGAGCGATTATTCTCTTACCTTCCTCTAGGTGGTAAAGCAACATCCTGAATTTTCTTCATCACGTCTTTCCCCTGCTAATCTCTCTTGTGGGCTTCCAACAGTCAGTGCCCACCTCTCCCAGCTCTTTCTCACCACCAGGCCCTCAGACTGCTGTTTGAAATGTACCCCCTTTGGTCTGCTTCCCAGATCACTCAACCAATGAAAAATGGGATCCTACTACCCATGCAGGGCTCTAGAAATTCAGCAACGTGTCATACGTGGCCTCCACCTTCAAGGAACTCAAAGGAGGCTGGGAGGTAGATGTGAATAACCACAGTACAAAGTTTAGCCAAGTTTCGTTTCGCAAGAATGACTACAGGTGAGGGAATGGGCATTGGAGCCACCAATCCAGCCCCTTCTTCCTCTTGGGGAAGCATTAATGACCCTGAAATGAGAAGCCAGAACTCTTACCAGCTCCCTCCTCATTCCTACTCCTTGTCCCCAGGCAAAACAGGAACCACAAACCCCAGCTTCCTCTCACAGAGAGGTTGTGGCTTTTGGGGGAGACGGAAACGGCTGAGGTGTAAATACAAGACCTGAGTCACTTGAGCTGCAGTTGCCACATGCCCCCTCCCCCCTCCCCAATTCTGAGGTCTCCTGCTCCCACTTTTTCCTTTCAGTCCTCCTCCCTTGCCCTTTAGCTCTGAATGTACACCACCTGAGTCCCCTGTGTGATATACACCCACTTCCCAGCCTGGGCTGGAAGCAGCTGTGGGCATTGCAGAAGGTGGGCAGGGCTCGGGGTGGGGATGCGTCAGGGAGAGACAGGGGAAGAGGAAGTGTCTTGGGTCCTGGGGAAGACTGGCTTGGTGGGTGGGGACAATCATTGTCAGCTTTCTGGACACACAGACAGAGACAGACAGGATGGATTTCCTCCGGCTACATCTCCCTGGGCTGCATCAGGCCTTGAGGGGGGCACTGGTGAGAGGGGCAAAGAGAGGCCAGAGATTTTCACCCTGCTCCCTGGGGCCTCACCTTCCCTTCTCCCTTTGAGCTTCTCCTCAGACTCAAGATTCCTTCCCCACAATCAGGCAGCCTGCTAGCCCGATCTTCTCTGGATTTCAATCCCCTCATCTCCACAAACACATCCACACACCTCTAATCTAGGCCGTTTCCTGCTCCTTCTGCAGATTCTGTCCCCCTCCTCCTCCTAGATCCTAGAACCCCTCTTCCTTCTCCCGAGTCCCTCTGGCCAAGCCCCGAGGGAGAGGGCTGGGCTTCCTCTTAATACCTTTGTCCCCATCCGTCTTTTCTTCTAGGAGTCTTTCAGCACCTTTGTCTCCTACCTTATGGGAGATGATGTCCCCACTGCAGAGAGGAGGGAGGCGTGTGCAGCTGAGGAACTGGGGGAGGTGGCTGCAAGAAGCCTTGGGGGGAAGGTAGAGGAGGAAGCCCAGGAGGCCGTGGAGGGCCTTGGAGGCAGCCAAAGCAAGGGGGATGGAGGGCTGAGAGGGCCTGGGGAGGCTGGAAGATGCCAGGAGGTAAGCTCAGCTACAGAACAGACCTGGGGTGGGGGACAAGGCAGCTCCCATGGGTCTCAAGCAGATAGGCAGGACACTGGGGCCTGGGAGGCAGCCACGGCCACTAGATGCCAGCATTCAAGTATCCCCCTGGAGCCCAGAAGGAAATCTGAGGCAGGGTCTGAGGCTGGTAGAGACAGGAGTAGCCAAGCCCAGGAGAGTCAGCAGCCCGATGAGCAGGAAGTGAAGAGAGAGGAGACACTGAGAACCTGGGAACGGGAGGAGGAGGAGGAAGAGGTCAGGGCAACAGAGCCAGGGGTGGCTGGAGGGGCGGAGTCAGAGGGGACCTGGCACAAGGAGCTTGAGCGGACGGCGAGTGTTGACGGGCAAAAGGTGGCAGAGGGCAGAAAGGAATCAGAGCAGGGGGTTGATGAGACAGCTGCAGAGGAGATCCAGGGGCCTGGGGCCAAAGGGGCTGGGAGGGAAGAAGAGGTGGTAGTGGTAAGGGGTGGCCGAAGCACAAGGGCACAGGGGACACAGGAGCCAGGGGCAGAATCTGAGGACAGGGAAAGCTCAGGCAGGGAGCAGGCTGACCTCCCAGGGGTTGGGGAGACTGAACATGGGGCAATCCCAGAAGAAAGGATCCCAGAGGGTACTGGGAGAGTCTGGGCCCTAGAGGAGACCTCCAAGGGAGGCCAGGAGGAGGAGGAGGTAGATGAGAATAGAGAGGCTGAAGTGAGCCTCTTCCCCAAACAGACCCAGGCCCTGGGAACCGAGAGAGTGGAAGAAGCGGCCGAGGACCAGGCAGCAGAGAGGGAAGCTGAGGAAGGTCAGGAGTCAGAAGCGGAGGGAGGGGAGGGCTTTGAGGGCCAGGCAGATCAGGCTGAGGGAGAGGCTGTGGAGAGGCAAGACTCAGAGATCAGGGCTGCTCAAACCAGTCTCAAGGAGGTGGTGCAGGCAGAGGAGGCCGAGCCACAGCAGAAGAGCTGCTGGGCTGCAGAGGCTGAGCTCCTCCGGGACAAAGCAGCAAATGAGGCTGAAGGTGGTGTTGACTTGGAGGCAACGCCAGAGGCCAGGCCCAAGAAGGAGTTCAGCGGAGAGAGGGGTGAGGAAGAGGCTCAGGCCAGGGGAGAAGCACTGGGGGTGGTGTGGGGTGGCCTTGAGCACAGGGTCACTGAAGGCCAAGAACCTGAGCTGGTGGGAGGCCCCCAGACCCCCACAGAGCAACTTGAGGAAGGGCAGGCATGTAAGGAAGAACTCTGCAGCATTCCAGCCCTGAGCAGAGAGGAGACAGAGAGGAGCCTGGAGGAATATCCCAGGAACGTGGGGTATGCAGAACCTAACAGCTCTGTGGCGGAAGCCTGGGAAGACAGAAGAAGGGATGTGGAGAGAGGGAGCACCCAGGAGGAAAAAGCAGGTGCTGAAGAGGGGGAGGAGGAGGCTACAGGAGGCCAGGCACCGGTGGCCGAGGCTGAAGGAGGCCGAGAGTCTGCACGACCAGAGGTCCCAGAGGCAGGCGGGGAGTGGATGAGAGTAAAGGAAGCCTGGCGTGGAGCAGAGGAGGGGGAGGCCCCTGGAGCAGAGAACCAGGAGCTGGGTGGAAGGCAGGGAGCAGAAGCAGGGACCATCCAGTCATTGGGAGAGTCAGACGCCACAGAGACCAAGGAGGAGGAGGTGGAGGCCGCCGTGCCCTGGGGGGCAGACAGAACATCCAGGCGAGGCTGGAGGCTGGAGGCAGAGGCTCTGAGTCTCCAGGACAGCAACGACATGGAGACAAATTCTTTGGCTACCGAGATCGTGGAGGATAAGGCAGCTCTGGATGGAAGGGCTCCTGGGACTGGGGACAGGCCCGGCAGAGAGGCTGAGGAAGCATTCGGGAGAGACTGGGATTCAGAAGGGAGAGAGGAAGCCGGCGGAGGTGAGGACCTGGTAGTGGCTGCAGAGGGGGAGAAAACAGGTGGGCAGGAGCTTGGCCTGGAGGGCTCAGCAGAGGAGGAGGTGCCTGGCAGAGGTGGCCAAGCAGAGGCTTCTGAGGCCACTCAGGAGGGTGAGCCCGGGGGACAGCAGGCTGAGGTGGAGGAATCCGCAGTAGCAGAAGGAAGCTGGGGGATGGATGGCGTTACCTCGGGCTCCCAGGTGGTGAGGGTAGAGGGCCTCCCAGGAGGGCACACACTGTGGGAAGAAGAGGCTGGAGGATGGCAAGCGACAGAGCAGGGGCAAAGCAGTGAGGGGCAGCACGGGGACAAGCACCCCGAGGGAGAGGCACAAAGGCCCCTTGTGGTGGAGGATATCGAGGTGACTGGAGACCAAAAGGCAGAGGCTGAGGAGATGGATCCAGAAGGCCTGGAGGACGTCCAGGGCCAAGAGGACCAGTCAACCAACCAGGACCCCGCAGAGGCTGAGCCTGGACAATGTGGGGATGCTCACAGCAGCTGGAGTGAGGTGAGGGCTCCAGGTAGGGTCCTGGGCTGGACAGAGCAGAATCTCGAAGCTGAAGCCGGCCCCATGGTACCCCGTGCCCTCTTCCCCGTAGGCCCTGCTCCCCGGGGCTCTCCTGGACGTCTCTGTCCCGAGGAGCCGAGCCCTCCTCTCCCGCAGCTCCTCACAGCGCCGCTCCCGGCCCTCTTTCCGACGGCACCCCGCCCCTGAGCAACCGCAGGAGCCTCCCAGCCCCCCACCGGAGGAAGAGCTGGTAGACCCCGAACAGAGACTTCTCGAGCCAGAGCACGCCCCGGAGCCAAGCTCCTCCAGCCCTGAAGGGACTCCATTGCCAGCCAGAAGGCCCCTGGGACAGAGGTAAGCACAGGGGGAGGTGACCGGCCTGGGATGGGGAGGAGGCTGACGGCATCTGGACACCAGCTCCCACGGCCTGTCTTCCGTCTGCAGGTTTGGCCTGGCACACCCTGGCATGATGCAGGAGCTGCGAGCCAGGCTGGGCCAGCCAAAGCCCCAGTGACTGGGACGTGAGGCTCAGAAGGCTGGGTTGAACGCTGCTCAGCCTGACTCCCTCTGCCGCTTTGGACGCATCCTTTCCACCCTCTGGGCCTTAGTTTCTTGGTGTGTCATTCACGGAGCAGACAGAACCAGATGTCTGCAAGAACCATGAACTTAAGGAGTCTGACTCTCCAGTGGGGCTGGTGGACCACTGCCCCGCTGGGGTCATCTCTCTCTGATGGCCTGCCTTGTCTACCTCCCCAACCTGTCTCAGCTGCTTGGAGGACTGAGCGAGGACAGAGACAGTTCTCCCCACAGCCTTCCCTCTCTACTGCGCCCAATCCTCGACCCCCCCCCCCCATTCTCAACGCCCCACCAGGCCCTGGAGAGCTGTGTAGGACTAACGCAAACCTCTGGGGTTGAAGCCGGCCTGGAGGAAGAGGTCAGGAGGGCCGGTGGCGCTCCATTTGCAACCAAAGAGAAGCAGACCAGCTGCCTTGAGCTTCCAAAGTGGGAGGTCAGTCTCAGAACTCTGCTGGTTACTACGGCAGCCACCAGCTGAACAAGCCAGAGTGGGGGAAGGTGGGCCAGGAACCCCAAAAATGTAAGATCAGAGAGGAGTCCAGGGTAACCAGAAGCTGCAGACTCTGTTCCAGGGCCCCTTTGCATGTCAGGACCCCTTCTCTGAAAAGAAGCCAAGGCAGAGAGAGGGTGAGAGTGCTTTATTAGGCACCCAGCGCGGCAGCCTAGTCTGAGGATGACTAGCAGGTCCCCGAAACAATAAATAAACCATTTTTCTAAACAATAAATAAATATCTAAGAAATAAATATCTGGTAAGGACTGGAGGGGCCTTAAGTTATTGGATAGGGTCTGGGGCGGGAGAACAGTGGAGTCGTGCCTTGTCTAAGGCAAATGAGCCGGAGCCTGTCTGCTGGCCCAGACTCCAGTCCTCAAGTCCTGATGGGTGGAGGGAAGGGGCTAAGAAGTCACCGTCCATCAGGGCTGGGAGCTGGGTGTGGGGAACCCCAAGGCCTGGGCTGGGTTCCCGGCCTGGGAGAGCAGCAGCAGGTCCCTCACCGCCCGAGACAAGACAATTTCCAAGGAGTGTAGCGACTGGTAGGTGTAGAGGAGCCAGGGCCAGGACACCTGGGCTGACATCTGCAAGGGACTGCCCAGAGCCCCTGGGAGCAGCCCCTCCCCCTCCTCATTCTCCTCCTCCTCAGGGAGGTTGAATCCTGCAGCCAGCACCTGTGGGGAGAGACCCATGGGTCAGAGAATGGCCCGCCTGAGACCCCGAATGAATCCTTGTTTCTTTATGTGCCCAGTGGTGCAGAGTGACATCAGAGATCACAAGGGCATGGTTTCCCTGGACAACCCCTACTTCGCATCCTCCATTACGTCATCGTTTCATGTGAGCTGCCTGATTTTGTTTTTGGTTCAAATAAATGGAAGTCACAGAGCAAGATGGTGCTCATGGAACTGGCTCTCACTCATCCAGGATTGCCCGGGGGACTGGGGACTCTGGAAGGTCCTCTCTTTCTCTCTCTCTTTTTTTTTTTTTTTTTGCTATGCCATGGGGCTTTCGGGATGTTCCCCTACCAGGGATAGAACCTGGTCCCTGGCAGTGAAAGCCTGGAGTCCTAACCACTAGGCCACCAGGGAACTGGAAGTTCCTCTCTTAAGCGTCGTCTTAAGATCAGAAATGGGCAGAAAGGTGATATGGTTAGTTTCTATGCTGTTTTCATTTTCTATTCTTTTATTAAGGGTAAAATTCCTATTTCCCTTTGAAATGTTCAGGAGAATCTGGTGATGTCAGAGGATGAGGGAGAAGGGAACATACTTTGTTTGCTGTAGGGCCTGCTGATGCCACATGCTGTCCTGGCTTCTCTCATTCAAGACCAAGACCCCAAGAGAAGGCAGAGGTTCAGGGGGCAGAGGTAGGACCTGGTACACCTACACACACACACACACACACACACACACACACACACTCAGAGGATCTGGAGCATCTCCTTCCAGACTTATCCTACCTCTGGGCAGGGGGTGTTTTCAAAGGGAACCAATGAGCCCCAGTTTTGAGTGTTCATCTCTGGGGGTCGAGGAGGATGGGTGGGCACTCTACCTGGAAGCGGAGATGCTGGTGCAAATCTCGGAGATCCAGCCTCATGGCCCACAGCTGCAACCTCTCTGAACTGGTCCAGAACCCCTGGCTCCCCAGCCCTCCCAACAGGGTATGGAAGGGGTGAAGTGTCATGGAGAGGAAGCGGAGTCTTTCTGGGTCCTGTGGAAGGGGAGGGAAGGCATCAGGAAAGGCCTGCAGGCCAAGGATGACCCACTTCAAACCCAACCTCATCTGTATTTGGGTCCCATTCCCAGCATGAACTCCAATCCCCATTCCGTACCCATATCTATTCTCATCCTTAACCACATCTCCATCCCTACTCCCTTCCTATGTTCATCACCATTCCCATCTCCACTGTGTCTGATCTCTATCCTATATCCTTTTCCAACCTCATTTTCAGTCACACCCGAGGTCATCTCTAACCCCCAACCCCATCTCCATCCTTCTGTCACTCTCTACCCACAACCCCATTCCATTTCCTTCTCTACCGCCCCGCCCCATCTCCATCTCCTCACTTGTTTTCATTCTGTCTTCAACTTCTTTCCCATCCTTGTTCCCATGCTTATCCCAATTCCATCCCTTTCTTGTGTCCAGCCTCAATGTCACCATCTCTCCATCCCATCTCCAACTCTACCCAACCCCATTGCATTCCCATCCTCACCAGTGATCCCCATTCTTTCTCTATCCCCCACTTCATTTTCACTCTCATCCCCAACCTTCTTCCCATCCCTAACCTCTTACCATTCTCACTCGTAACACCAGCTCCACGCCTCCTCCATACTAACCTCTAACCCCAACCCCATTCTGTTCCCATCCCCACATCTTTCCTTGCTCAGCTTCATTCTTACCTTCTTCCTAACGCCATTTCTTTATTCCAGCCTCATCTTTATATTCAGTGACCTACCCAGCCTCATCCAGATTCTCTCCCTCAATTTATCCGCAAATCCATCTTCAATTCAATCCCCAACTTCATCTCCATCCCCCCAACCCAGCCTTATTGCCAGTTTGCCTGTCCCACCCCGCCAGTCCGCCACTCACAGAGAGGCCACGCCAGGCCTGGAAGGTCAGGGAAACGTTGGGGAGCTGCTCTCCCAGGGGCAGAAGGTCCAGGTTCACTCCTGGCAGGTGAGATTCAGCCTATGGGGCAAGGTCTTTTAGTGGGGGCCCGAGGGGATTGGGGATCTTCCCATCCCCAGAGCCAGCTGCATTAGGGAGACTCACAAAGTCACGGGCCTGGACCCGAACCTCGGAGAGCAGCTTCCTGGAGAGATGCAGGCTGACCTTGAACTCCCTCTGCAACTCCTGCAGGCTCCGGAGGGGCCTCCCTGGGGGCCTCGGGAATCCCCAGACACCAGCTCGAGCCAGGAGCAAGGAGAGTAGCAAAAGGCTGAGCCCTGGAGCAATGAGGAGGGGGCGGGCAAGATGAGGGGAAGAGCTGGAAAAGAACTCAGGAAAGGGAAGGGACCGTGCCTTTTTTGAGCCTGTGCTACAGGCACGCTCTGTGTGTCATCTCACTGACCCCTCAAAACCACTAACAAGCTGTTGAGACACCATATGGCCTCTCTGTACAGTGAAAGGAAAGTGCCCCTTCCCCCAGGCAGACACAGTCTTGCGCAGAGTGCCCGCCTTTGCAAGCAGATCTCGGGCTGCATCTTGAACCCCACTATCTCCCTTGGCCAAGTGTCTTTCTCAGTGAACAAACTGCACGAGGGTATGTGGCAGCCTGGGTGCTATTATTCTCCCTATTTTGCAGATGGGGAAAGTGAGGCTCAGTAAGGTTGACTTGCCCAAGGGCACATAGCCAGAGGGTGAGGGGACCAGGACTGGATTCCAGATCTGCCCAAATGCAGAGCCTGCATGCTTCCCCCAGGGAACTCAGAGGAGACCGCCACCTCCCCTGGCGTGGGCACGGTCTGTTCTGCCAAGGATTCCCCGGGCTCAGCCAGGCGGCTCTGATGACCTGAACCAGGGCCCCAGGGGTGGGCTGGTGATGCTGAGGCTCTATCCCAGGGAGTCAGAAGGACAGATTGGTCCAGCCTCCCCCAAGGCAGGTAGATCACTCTGCAGGGTGGGAGGAACACGGGGCGCCAGGAGAGGGAGGAGGGTCTGGAATGGGAGGCTGAACCTCTGTTTCTCATTTGGGTTCTTCCCTTGAACAAGTCATGTCTTATCTCTGTGCCTCAGGCTCCCATCTGTAAAATGGGGGAGTCAGACTGGCTGATTTCTGAAAGTGCTTCCTGCCCTGCATTTCCTGGAAAGAAGGAAGAGGGGCAGTGGGGCTGGAGCTCTGGGAAGAGGGCAGTTTCTTCTTCAGGGAGAGGAAATCTAGCAATCACTAGGGAGTTACACAATTCTTCTCGAAACCCAAACCAAAACTGGTCACTAAGTTGAAGTCTATTCCTGCCCCCCCTTCTCTCCATGCCTCTTTCCTATTCATCCTTGATCTGTAGGCCCTGGGCTCTGCTCCTCGAAATGTACTCTCAGTAAAGACTAAGGGGAGATTCTGGGCGCTTCCACTACCCCCATGGACTTAACACAGGTGGTGGGTCATGCCTGCAATCTGTAGCATTCAGGCTCCCAGGCTTGGGGGCCGCTCTGGCACCCTGGAGACTTAAGGCAGACTGGGGTTCTTCCTAGCTCTATGGGTGGGCACCCCGAGGCCCTGGTGGATAGTGCCCACCCAGAACTGAGCTGTGCCATCTCTTACTGACCCCCTGCTTTCTGCCTGAGCTCTGGAGCCCCCAGACCCTTCCCTTGGTTTCTCCTTCTCCTCTGCAGCCAATCCTGGGGCTTTCGCCCGGCCTTTGAAGGTTCTGTCCCCGTCTTTCAGCCCTTGGTCCCTACCCTGACCCTACCATCGGCTCCTCTGTCTAGAGCTCTCTTTCCAGCCTCTGAGCTCTTCAGCCACCATCTGTAGCTTGGACCTCCTCCCAAGCTTCAAACTCCAGACCCTTGACCCAGTTAGGCTGCTGACTCCTTGGCCCCAGCCCCCTGCTCCGGCTGTTCTTCCTCTAGCCAGACCCAGTTCTCAGCCAAGCTGATTGGCCCCTGCTCATTCACCCCAAATAAACGCTTCATCTATGCGCCTGGTCCTGATCCTGGTCAAAGCGCCTGCCCGACTCTCCCCATTCATGCCAGTCGTCTTCCCATCCTCAGCCCAGCCCTCACCAAACTTCCACCCTTCTGCAGAACGCTGTCCCCCCATTCATGCCAGCCAACCTGCCCTGCCCCATCCTCTGCCCAGCCCTGGCTTGATCACTACCCCTCTGCCCCATCCCCTCTCCCCAGTTTATGCCTGTCTCACTCCCATCCTCCAGTCAGCTGTATCCTGTATCCTTAGTCTTGCCCACATAGTAGGACCTCAGCCCTTGGCGCCCATCCACAGCAGGCAAGTTCACCCATCCTCTGCCCAGTCTCAGCCAAGCCCCCCACCCCTCTGCCCCAGCCCTGGCCTCAAACTCACGCCAGCCAAGGTCGCCTGCCGTCTGGCCCATGGTGGGGCCAGCCTCTTTGGACAGCCATCTCCCGGGCAGGGGGAGTCTTATACTGGGGGCTGCGCCCGGTTTCACTTTCCGTCCTGCTTGTACTTTCGGCTTTGTGTTCACTCAGTCTTCCCTCTCACCACCCCTTGCTAAAATGGGGAAATGTAATTTCCCTTCCCAGAGGGGGTGGGAGGGGCAGTGAGGGTGGTGGGAAGCTGGGGTT